AGGGTGCTAGCGGGCGGGCGGGCGGCGGTGGTGGGGCGGACAGGAGAACAAGCGGGCAGACGAGAAAGAAGAGCGCGACCCGCGCACTGTGCATGAAGGCGGGAGAAGGGTGGGATGGACGTCTGCTTCTGGCGCACAAGTGCCGTGTAACAATGAAGTTCACGGCACAGCGCCAAAAACTTCCCAAGTGGTAAGGGAAAAAAATACGTGATCGTAGTACAGAGTATTTCAATGAGTAATCAACCATCAAAGTAAGATTAGTTTTAGTAAGAATTTTACGGCACTTGCAACACAATACGATCAAATAAGTGACGAAAGATTAGAGGTGTTGCAGGAGAGTAAAACACACAAAGAAGGGGGAAAAGGACAATAGATATGTTGGTAGGAAAGAAGGAGCAAACCACACCAGAGGACCCACTGACCACCCACTTCATCAAAGTAACATTAAAACGGCAGGCTTCAATGGCTACAAGTAAAATCAGATTGTACACAGAATGAGAGGCGACACCACAGTATTGCACTCAGATCCGTTCAACGATAATATCAATCAATAATCAAATCAGATCTTAGAAATCAGATTTCAACAGAGATAATTGAAAACGGACTCCAGGGGAATTAAAAGGCAAAAAGGTTATACACTACACAACCCAAATCTATAGAGGATGAGTAAACCGAAACATTTTGTTTCTCAACAAAACCCCAAGACATCTTCCAGACCTGCGAGCTTTGCTCACATTTGCTGGATTCGGGTAATATGGAAAGGTTCGGGGTCAGAGTAGAGGTTAGGGTAGGGCACGGTAGGGTAGGGTAGGGTAGGGTAAAGATTAAGGTAGGGGTTACCCAAAACCCTAACCCTTACCTTATTATCCGAATACAGAAAATTATGTGAATAAAACTTACAGATATGGAAGATTGTCCTTCCCGCGACACTTCATACCGACTCACACGGTACAGTTATCTATCTAAGTTCACCCTTCAACACACTTTGTCTTATCAAAAGTGGTCGTAGACGATATCAGGCCAATGGGCCACAGACAGACATGCAATGGCACTTATAATAATATACAGTCGAACCTGTCCCAGATGAGTGTCCATTCGCTGAATCAGAATTAAAAAGTTCTATCTGCTCAGTACACCTAGTTTTGAGAAATTTGACGTCAAAGATTTTTAGTTTCACAACAAGTCAAGCATTTTTTAAATTAAATTCTTTGAATATCTTGATAAAGACTCGATCCGAATGATCTTATGAGTTTGACAAAAACAGAAAGAGCTTCGATTTCGGACCTCATGGTCTTAGTAACTCAAAACAGCCAAATATATCAAATAGACCTTTGTAATTCTAAGGTTGCGCATTGTTGAGGAGAAAAGTGGTCTATATATTATTGTCTTAGACATGCAGTCCTCTTGGACGGTGTCATATATTATAACATAAGAGAAACCCAAATGGAAAGTGAGAAGTGGTCGTTTGTACGATTTATTGTCTTGGACAGGTAGTCGTGAAAGAAGAAGAAGAAGAAGAAGAAGAAGA